AAATTATCGTTAACTCTATAATTGCTATCATTTGATGGCATCGATGGCCACATCACTGAGTCTTGAGTGGAGGGAACACTTGGGTTGCAATTATTGGCCACAATTGGTCCCATACTGGACATCATCTCTTGCTTCGTATCATTGACTCTCAAATCATTCAACTTGTGCTCCAAGACCTGACAAATGACAAACATATGCGTCAATACATCTCAAGACAGTACGAGACAATTGTCAACACTTACGCCATTCTCATCGATCATGTCTTCCCACGAGTCCAACACTTCATCAGCCATTCACTCGATTTGATCACAATTTGCTCACAATATATACATTCAATTCATAGCATTCATCACATTATCATTGAATTGAAATCATTGATAAACTCGTGTTTCAATCACTTTCATAGATATGTCGACTGAGTATTCAATTAGTATTTGGTTTACAGTTAATCAATGGTCACAAATGGATCCAATCTATGATATCACATCAATTGGTGTTTGTTTAGCAATTCAAATGGCATTCATTTCACGTATTTATCACTCAATGGTAACCAATGGTGTGCTCTTAATAGTAGAGTAATAGCCGTTTGATTAATAATTATGAAAATATAACTATAAATGTATGAAAATTCAATGCAATTGTGTTTAACTCGCAGTCAATCACTAGACGTGTTTGCATGCAATCAATGCACTGCTATTTATGACAATACATGCGTTCGATAGTTCCCACAGTTGTAGACTAGTTCCTCCCAATAAGCATGCATTACATAACACTCTACTAATAGATTGCACTACACTGTAGTGACTACAGTATTACAATCCTTCAATATTCCCACTAATGAGTTGACCAACGCTTAACATTTATTACGCTATTCAACAGAGTTTCTAAAACAGTCACAAATCTTAACAGTATTTCCAGATATGTTTCACACCTAACAGTGATTTAACGCAAATGATATCTTCTCTGCACAACACGTATTGATTTATTATACATTGCATAACATGGAAGTGTGGGGCAGTGAAGTGATTGAATGTGTAGGCAATGAGTGGGAATGAGTGGGAGTGGACACTGAAACAGAAAGCAAACGAAACAGTGATTGTGTATGATTTGTGTGATGCTCGCAGTTGTGCACAACTTGTGGTGATAGACACGACTGGACACGGAGTCGAGTGACTGTTATGGACAGCCGCACCAAATCCATGAGACAATTGTATTGTCTTAGAGTTAATCAGGTTTTACTCATTCAATGATATATGTGTTTATAAATGGATTCACTAACAGTGGTATCATTTGATGACTAGATTGATTCGAAATCATTGGACACTGAATTGAATGCGATTTTTGAGGCGAAGGTCAACGACCTGGAGGTTAATATGACCACAAATGAGACAATGTATTGACTTATGATTTACCCATAGATCCAAAGACTGCGAGAATTGAGTCCAGAATTATTAGCCCTCATAAAGACATACATTTGGGTGAATACGGTTTGGGGGAATGGCATCTCAATTGGACAGTCATTACTTGGACTCAAATACTACGACATGAGTGACACAAACACTATTAGACAACACTTGAATGCATTACAAAATGTTGGCCTCGTTTTGGTGGAAATAGTGGTTCCATGGCTTAGACAACGAGTGATCACTGATAGCATTAGCCATACGGTTGACAAAGTGGATCAGTTGTACAAATGCGTCCATTTTATGAATGGATTGGTTTTCTTATATTACGGCAAATATCGGACTCTTTGGGAACGAGTGCTTCGATTGGGAACCGGTCTTCAGTCGTCACAACAAAACTGGTCCAATAATGAGCTCTATCTGGAAATCATGAATAGAGAGCTCTTATGGCATACTTTCGCTCAGTTATTGTCGTTTGTATTGCCGTTAATAAACTTTTATCGACTCAGGAATACATGTCTGAACACAGTTCGCGGTCTCCTCTTCCCCTCCCGTCCCACCCCTCCATCCAATGCCACACAACGAGAGATACAAGACCTGAAGAATTGTGTCATTTGTAACGAGTGGCCAATCAATGGACACGAGATTGGGTGCAGACATGTCTTTTGCTACTACTGTCTAATGTCTCATTTCATGTCCGATCAAATCAATGGTTTCACATGCGATGAGTGTTTATATCAAATCAATTCAATAGATTGTATAAAAAGGGTTCACTTTTCATATTTTCTTAAATAAAACATTTCAATGAGTTTCAAATTTCGAGCCCTTTTCACACCATTTCAACATTATTTATGTTTGAATACATTTGCGCTTAAATGACATCATTTCCGGTTTGTCGCGATATTAGCGCACAATAAGGGCTTATATTTGTGACAATAACTCATATTCATGTGAAATGTTTGCATTTTTCTATTTATTCAAACCAATATTATTTAATTCATAACTGTTTGCTAATAAATTGTGTTTAATTTCCAAGTAATTTGCCACTCAATTGCGGCCCTATTCAGTGCACTACACAAATGACGTGATAATAATATTCAGTGCTCACCGTTCACATAAGAAATACTGCATATTTGCTATTCTAGTGCCCCTTTTGACATCTCATTGCCAGTCACTGCACTAATCTATGTATGACTAGCACAGGGTGCTCACCCCACCGCCTGTTATTAGAAACTAGAATATATTGTTTATAACTTATAGGTGACTGAGAAGGGAGTGAAGCTGTTGATGTGGTGGTAGGTTATGACTGTTTCGGAGTACAGCGTGTATGTGTAATGAGTACACTATGTGTTGGTGGTGTGGATGTGGTTGCGTGCAGTGTATGTCTCTACGTACAGTGTGTCTGAGTGTATGAGTGTATGTCTGTATGACTGTACGACTGGTGGATTGAACGCCATTTATGACATCCATTTGTAAGTGACTCGAGAAGTGAAACACATTTTACACGAAATATTGTATGAAATTGTGTTTTCAAAGCATAAAAGCAAACCATTGCTCTCAAAGATTATCACCTGATCTTCGGATGAGACCTGTTGTAAGCGATTGACAATTGATGGCAATATTTGGCACGCATTGACCGACTCATGAGTGCATTCATTGCATTGATTGAACCGATTGTCTGAATCGATACAATACATGAGTTGGTGCACCGTTTGGACAAGTGTTGGATCCGATCACCACTTCTCTGGCGAAGAGCTGATGGAATAGAGTTGGCCTCCAATGCCCTTCACTGCCCATCGCCAGCCATTGCCGTAACCCTCGTCTGGCCGTCAGCGTAACGTGTAATACCGGTGCCCACGTGTCCACCATGTCTAATGTGGCCAACAAACACCACCAGCAGAACCCAAACAAGTACCCCAACAACATCTCACGTGTCAGTCATCCCAACCAAAGGTTTGTCACCACTTCCTCACCATAAACTCATCTATGGATAAGCAATGAGTCATTCATGGCTTACATGCTGTATGAAACGGCACTATATCTCATACTAGTATTCATATCCTATCTATCAATTGATTCCCATTTGATTTGTTTGTTGCCATTTGTTTGGACTTTCTTTTGGCTTATTTCTCGTAACTCTGATCTCTGTTTATATCTGAGTTGTCATCGACTGAATGTAGTCTGCAATGGACTAAATGTGCAATTATTTGTCTCTATTATAGTCTATGCATTGATTGCACAATCATTTCACTGCACTAAACATAGCGTTCATTATATTAAACGTGTTTCGCATTGTCTCTGCCGTTCACCCATATATTCACCGGTTTTTTCCAAATTCAAGTCCTTTTCTTAATTTACTTATTATTTTCTAATCATTCAATTAACAGTCAATATAATTATTTCACTAACACTTAGTGTCTGAACAGTGTTTGTATTATAAATGACAACATTTACTAATGTGATAGGCATGTATCGATTTATAATGACAACAATTGGTGACCATTTAAATAAATAAATCAATAGTTTTGACACATTTTGATGGGATTAATGATTGAGATGCTTACTAAATATGCAATGTATAGCATGTGCTTTAGATATGTCTAAAACTTGAAAACGACATCAATTTTTAAGATATAGGTATTAAGAGGAGTGAGACTAACATGTTGTGAGTTATCTCTAACTATTAGTCCATTTTCTTAATTATATATATTATATGAGTTTTATTACTAAGAATTTGATTCGCTTGTTATTGAAGTAATTTTGAAAAACAAATGATTGATAGCATGTGAGACACATTTAATATGTTAATCGGACTGTGTTTGTGACTTATGTGAGATTATTGTTGCTTTAAAATATTGATTAAAATTAAGCAAAACTATGATATATTGAACAGAGGTACGGATAGAGAGGTTAAGTGTGACCCACTTCTTGCATGTATTGGTTGGGTATTTGACAAACAGGAGTCCATTTGATTGCATTCATAGCATTCATTCCACATTCCTTTGCTTTTTATTAAACTTGCATTCATTTAGATTTATCTTTACACTCATTACATTCAAGTGAAAATGTGTTCATTTATTTTTCTCCCCAATATTTTACACATAGAGAGGGTTTCAAAGTGAGCCGTGAGTCAAGTGTGCTTTTGGTGTGATTTGATGACATTTGATGTGAATATAGTGTACATTTAGATGATTGTAATGAATTTGATTGAATTGTGTTTGTGTTGATGTGTTGTTGCGCTCATTCATAGCATACATTCAGTATTTAGCGATTGTGTGTCGAGTCGTTACCTTTGGTTGATCTTCAAGTTTTCGGTCAATGCTTTCAATGACTACCAAACCAGAGGTTTATGACCTCATCTTAGCTCATATTCTCTATTCACGTATTTCTCAAATATTTCTTCACTCGTGTTATTATTTTTACTTTAAAAATGTCTTATAATATGTTTGAAAGACGAGACATGTTTTGATGACTTAATTGCAATTATAGTAAACAATATATTAATGATTGACTGGTGACATGATTTACAGTATAAACCCGAGAGGGTCTGTGCCCACAGACAACCACTCACGTCCGGACCACCAGAGGCAGCCAACGTACTCACACGTATGTCTCACCCATATGTCTGTCATTGCATTATTATTGAGATTGTATTGCTTTTGAATGGTAGGCCGCCAGTCGGGGTTTATCACAACCGGCACATCCATCACATGATAGCGTAATTGGAAAATCGCATCCAAACGCTAGTGCTGTTCAACAGGTGGTTCTACCAAACCTATCAGCACAGGTGCCAAACGTCAACCCTACCGGCCCTCAAATGCCTGCATCTGCCGTCGCCAACGCTGGCCCTAATCACCTCCAAGTGCTTCAGCAACAGAGTGCACCTCAAATGTTGCCACAAAACAATCGTTTTATGTCTCCTTTCCATCAACAGCACCCACAGCATCAGCAGCGGCCACAAAGACATACACTTATTCAGAATCACAATAGAAATTCAAATGCTGTCCCTAATAGTGCCGTGAATCCGACCGTTCAGCAAAATATAGCGCATACCGGTCCCCAATATTTCATTCTCAATCCGCAACAGCAGTTCCAACAGATCCAAACACAGTTCATACCGCAACACATGTCTCACTCTGTAAGTCTCCATACCATACATGCCATACATACTTAAAACATTATAATCAATGTGTCCGTCCGTCCAGTACCAGAGACCACCCCTGCAGATACAGCAGCCCTACTACATGTATGCCCAGCAACACAATCCCCAACAACAACAGCAACAGTCGTTTCAACCACAGACGACATATCCTCAATACAGTTGAGTCTATGCATACTTTTAGCTATTATCAAGTCTAATGATGTGATTGTCTTACAGCAGTGTATCCGCCGCCGCATTACCCGCAACCCCCACCCCATCAAAGCGCTCCAATGGTGCAGCAGATGCAGCCCAGAAGTCAACCGGTTTCGGCACCACCTGTCATACAGGCGAGTGCCCCGCCATTAACTGTTCAAATGCCCGGACCTAACACTGAAATGAATGAGTCGACGGCACCACCGATGCCGGCAAAGCCACAAATGCATACCAAGCGTACGCGCACTCTAGCCGTTCTCACGGACCCTAATAGTGGCGAAAACATAAATCTCGAAGAATTGGCCAAAAACCCCAAAGAAGAGTTTAAAAGCCAAACACCGGTCAACCGTAAGACTGAGTCACATCCCGGAGCTTCCAATTCTCCCAACGCTGGTGTTGTGGTATGTCTTAAATGTGATGTAAGATTAGGAGTGAACCTAAAATGCAACTCTTTGTAGACGAGTTCATCCGAAGCGGACAACAGCATTGCCCTACAGTTCGCCACAAAAGTGGCCCGAATGGCAACACAGCCCATTGCCGGTCATTCATCGACTACTGGTGTTCACGAAACAATTAGTGTTAATTCGAAGCCAGAAAAGGAAGAACCGGTAGCTATTAGTCCTATAAGTAAAGCAACCATAAGTGAACCGATGGACAAATTAAGTGAAAGTGAACCGTTGACTGACAAATCACAAGTGATTGAAACGAATTCTGCAAATAGTGCTTCTGATATGTTTGATAAAACAGACAGTAAACTATCAAATGACATTTCAGCTCAAAATTCAATTGAAAATAATAGTCAAATGAGTGGTGAGAATGTTGTGCACGAATTGAGTGAAAACGAAGACAATAACAGAGATATGAATACTAAAGAAGAGAATGAAGACAAAGTGGAGACGAAACCCGAAATAGGTTTGTATTAATGAATAATATTTAAATGATTTGAATGAATATGAATACAAGTAGTCACACGTGAATCTGTTTGACTGCTAATAAGTCTCAAAGTTTGCATCTTTAAGATGTGTTGACGTAATTAGTATTACTATTACTATATTTAGCGACTCTAAGTGAGGCTCATGCATACAATCAGTGATAAGTAATGCATTCACATTCACATTAACCGCTTTCCTAATCAGTTATACTTGTGATGAGTCTTTGAAAAATGTCTTCTTAACCAAAATAGTTTATACTTTTTTGTTGAATGTGTTTCAAACATACAAATCAATGGCTAGTTTTGATACAAAACCCCCCAAATGTCATCAGAAAAGACACGAATGGCCTCTTAGAAGGAAAACTCGCTATGACATTTCAGCTCAAAATTCAATTGAAAATAATAGTCAAATGAGTGGTGAGAATGTTGTGCACGAATTGAGTGAAAACGAAGACAATAACAGAGATATGAATACTAAAGAAGAGAATGAAGACAACGTGGAGACGAAACCCGAAATAGGTTTGTATTAATGAATGATAATATTTAAATGATTTGAATGAATATGAATACAAGTAGTCACACGTGAATCTGTTTGACTGCTAATAAGTCCCAAAGTTTGCATCTTTAAGATGTGTTGACGTAATTAGTATTACTATTACTATATTTAGCGACTGTAAGTGAGGCTCATGCATACAATCAGTGATAAGTAATGCATTCACATTCACATTAACCGCTTTCCTAATCAGTTATACTTGTGATGAGTCTTTGAAAAATGTCTTCTGAACCAAAATAGTTTATACTTTTTTGTTGAATGTGTTTCAAACATACAAATCAATGGCTAGTTTTGATACAAAACCCCCCAAATGTCATCAGAAAAGACACGAATGGCCTCTTAGAAGGAAAACTCGCTGTAATGGCAATTCAGGTTTGCTTTTGGGTTACCAATCAGAGCCACTATTCTATTGGATTCGCTTCTCAGATATTAATATCTTTATCACTAAAATGTCTTAACATAACATATGCGCAAATTTTCACATATTTTACTTTCTGATCGACATTTTTGCCACATTTTCACTGATAACTTACTTTAATTATAACTTTCTATAACTTGTTTGTATTTTTCAATGAAAGCCAAAGACTGTTTCCAACAAAAAGTAAATATTAATAATAATATTGATTACGACGACAAATGCGATGCGACAATAAAAGGAGACAATAATGACAAACACGACGACAAAGTGGACAATGCATGTGATGTGACGGACAATGTTGTGCCGGTTATCGACAAAATAGAACCGCAACCGATATGCGAGCGGTCGTCACCTGTGATGATCCCAACCCTTGACAAGGAATGCACCGATAATTTGACCAAAACTAATGTTTTATATACTGAAGCTATTTGTGAAAATGATATACAAAATGAAATGAATCGATCAATTGATGTGACGCCAGAGGATGAGTGTCCGGTGCAGACGGAGGAACCCGAATCAGCCATACCTTCGCCTAAGACCTCCCTTCCAGATCTGCCGTATAAGGACGACCAGTGGACTCCTCTCAATCCGGACGGCAAAAAGCATTACGAAAGAGACTTTCTGTATGCCGTTCGCGATAAGTCTGTCGATTCACTCAAAATGCCTGAAGTGCTCAATAATGATAGGAATCACGAAATTATTCGTAAAATTAGTAAAGTAAGTCTCGTTTCTATCACTATTATCATAGTATTTGCTAACATATGATGAACGTTATCCCTGTCTGAGATATATTGCGGACAAAATTCCTCGTTTCTGACCAAACATTGAATTAATAGCTGTTTACTGTATTTGGTTGTTGTGATGATCTGACCATTAATTATAACATGATTTCCATTGCAGGAGTCGAGTGGTCACACGAATGACGAGCCCTCCAACTACTTTATGCCTAATTATGTGAAGCCTAATGATATGCGCCACCGAGGCATGGCTCCTGTATGTCACCAATGTTTGCTCCAATCATTCAAACTAATTGATTACCCTTTGCTTATAGCCTGCATCCCGGCGCTCGAGTCAACCGGGAAGACAGGACACCAAACACCGAAAAATCATCTCAACGTCTTTGACACAAGACGTGAAACTCCACACAACAGAGAATGCGTGGAAACCTCTCATGAAACCAAACCTTCACGTGTCTGATCCCGAAGAACTTGAAACTCTGGAACTTCTTAAGAGGATTCGAGGAATTCTGAATAAACTGACGCCACAGAAGTACGACGCCTTAAGCAATCAGATTCTGTCCTTCAAAATAGACACCGAAGACCGACTTAAGAGAGTCTTAGATCTTGTGTTCGAGAAGGCAGTCGACGAACCGGCCTTTTGTCTCCAATACGCCAATCTCTGCAAACATTTGTCGAAATTCAAAGTTTTGGTCAATAAGGAGGAGAACGCCGAAGAAGTGAAGTTTCTGAAACTCCTTCTCAGCAAATGTCAGAAAGAGTTCGAAACAGACATTTACGCCTCCATTACAGACCTGAAGGAACGCCGCGAAGAGATCGACAACTGTTCGGATCCGCCGAAGAAGAAAATGTTGTTCGAAGTGCTCGACGAAGACATGAGGAGAGCCCGGAAGAGGAGTCTGGGAAACATAAAACTGATCGGCGAGTTGTATAAACTGAATATGCTCAAGGCCAACATCATGGTCCAGTGCATCGACAACCTCATCAAAGAGGCCGACGACGAGTCACTCGAGTGTCTGTGCGCTCTCCTCCGCACAATTGGCGAACAAATCGAAACCGAGGCCTCAGATAAGGCCAAACAAACGCAACTCTTGGACTCGTTTTTCGTGAAAATGCAGTTAATTGCCGACCAAAAGGACTCCGACGTGAAGGGCACGTCCGCTCGCGTCCGCTTCATGTTGAGGGACGTGAACGATATGCGCAGAAATCACTGGAAGGCGCGTAGGGATGAGAATCTGCCCAAAATGATAGACGAGATTCACAAAGAGGCCCAAAAAGAGGACGAACAGATGGTTAAGGATCTGCAACAACACTCCATGAACAAGAAACAGGAGGAAAGGGATCGCAAACAAAAAGGTACTTATTTATCCAAATGATGGCATGTTATCTATAATTAAATGTCTAATTGTTTGGTTGACATAAGGCTTACGACCGGCCAATGATTCAACTGATGGCAATCAGTGGACAGTTATAGCTCGCAAGAGTCAGAACGCTACTCAGCCCAACATTGACTGGCAAAAGATGCGGACAATGGTATGTCATGTTTGCATGTTTTCTACCTGCAGTATAGTTGTGTTGACCTACAAATGATGAGCGTTATCCCTGTCCGACTCTTTTGAAGACAAAATTCCTCGTTTCTGATTGTAGTTTATCTGAAGTTTTAATTTGTTTGTCGTGTCTATCAGTCATTAGAGTAAATGAATGTTTGTATTGACAGCAACAACAAAACCACGACAACGTGCAGTTAGGGCCGCAGTCTGGCAGTGCCTGGTCTATGGGCAGCCGAGGCGGTGGAGGAACTTCTCAGTCCCGGTTTGCCGCTGAAGACAAACAGCTCAATAGGTTCTCACCGCTCGAATCCAATGACAACAGAAAATCATCGCAAAAGTATGAATTGATAGAATTTGTATGAATTGATGTCTTCAATGTATTTTCAATTGAATTTCAGAATAATTTCTTCGCGAGACTCAAGTAAAGGCAGATCTAATCAGAATTACGGCCAACAGGGCCGCGGAGGTCGCTCTCAGGGCGGAGGGCGTAGTGGTGAGCGCGAGGACGCCATGAATTTGGTGCGAAATTTCTCTGCGCGTCAGTCCCCGTCTGAGTCTTCGCCCGCCTATCCAAACATGATTTCCCGAAACAGTAGTCGAAGCGATAGTCGTGAGGCGAGCGCTCCCAACAGTCGGAACAGTTCTATACGTCGCGACACCCCCGACATCGAAGTCAATCAATTGAGAGGCAGTCAAAGCATTTCAAATGAAGACTTGGAGGAGAAGTGTAAGGTCTCCATCACTGAGTATTTAAACGTGAAGAGTATGGATGAGCCGGTCATCGACCTCTGCAACCTCTGCAACGACTCCAATGTCGAGATCTATGTCTTGTCTGCAATCAACTGCTCTCTCGAGAACTCTAGTCAGTCCGACCACTTCCTCATCGGAAAACTTATTAATCACTTAATTTGCAAACTATCGCAAAAGTATGAATTGATAGAATTTGTATGAATTGATGTCTTCAATGTATTTTCAATTGAATTTCAGAATAATTTCTTCGCGAGACTCAAGTAAAGGCAGATCTAATCAGAATTACGGCCAACAAGGCCGCGGAGGTCGCTCTCAGGGCGGAGGGCGTAGTGGTGAGCGCGAGGACGCCATGAATTTGGTGCGAAATTTCTCTGCACGTCAGTCGCCGTCTGAGTCTTCGCCCGCCTATCCAAACATGATTTCCCGAAACAGTAGTCGAAGCGATAGTCGTGAGGCGAGCGCTCCCAACAGTCGGAACAGTTCTATACGTCGCGACACCCCTGACATCGAAGTCAATCAATTGAGAGGCAGTCAAAGCATTTCAAATGAAGACTTGGAGGAGAAGTGTAAGGTCTCCATCACTGAGTATTTAAACGTGAAGAGTATGGATGAGCCGGTCATCGACCTGTGCAACCTCTGCAACGACTCCAATGTCGAGATCTATGTCTTGTCTGCAATCAACTGCTCTCTCGAGAACTCTAGTCAGTCCGACCACTTCCTCATCGGAAAACTTATTAATCACTTAATTTGCAAACAATGTATAAAACTCGATCACTTCCATAAGGGGTAACTATTGAGCCATTTGTCACCTAAATCCTCAGTTTAATCAAATGTGTTTCCATTGCTAATACAGTCTGAATCTTATACTCGAAAATTCTGGAGATGTGGAACTGGATGTGCCGAAGATGTGGGACTATATCGGCGAGATATTGGCCCCCATTTTTGTAAATTTAGCTTCAAATAGGAAAACATTTTTATTAGATATTGCAAAGCATTGTGAACGGGGTAAAAGCTCGAAATTTATAGCAAAGATTATAAAAGCGGTCGCAATGTTCACAGTAAGTTTTGACTCGTTTCATATCAGTTCACTCGTGATTTACATTCAATTGTGTTTACTTAGACTGAAATGAAGGCAAACGAATTATGGCAAAGTTGTGGCTTAAGTTGGACTGACTTTTTAGACCCCAACCAAAACATTGAAGATTTTGTTGAACAAAATGTAATGCTTTTATAATTTAGTTAAAATGTCTAATTTAATAAAATTGATTAATTTTTCTTATAGAGCGTTGAATTTACAACAAAAACGCCAAATAAATCAATAAATAATTTTGAACACAATTATCAGCCATTTATTGAAGAGATGGAACTTCTCGTCAAACAGAAGAAATCTAATGACGAAATGCAGAGTTTTATATCCGTTAGTCTCATAACTCTTATCTCTTTAAATGTTTTTATTTCAAACTCTCTTTACGTTTCAGAAACATTTCAATGCCTCACAAACAAGTGGTGACCGATTCACGAGTGCCTTATTTAGAGCTATAATCCAGGGATGTATTATCGGTGCGTATATTCAATTGATTGATGTGTTGGTAAGATGTATGACTAAATGTGTTGTATTGCTTGTGTTGAACAGCGCCTCAAGACGTGAGAGAGACGACGTTAGACGAGCATCAGCTCGTGTCGTGCGCTCCCGTTCTCCAGAAATTTCTCGGCGGAGACGCCGAACACGAACTCCAGGCTCTGATAGTCCTACAGGAGCTCATGGAGAAACTGGAACACCCGCCAAGTATGTGACGCTCAGGGATCCACTCGTTGTCTAGTGATTGTAATGACTAATGACTGTGTGATATGTTTGCAGACTTACTGTTGAAGATATTCCAATGCCTTTACGACAATAACGTGATATCTCACGACGGGTTCCTCCAGTGGGAGAGGTGTGAGAGTTCGGGCTCTGGGAAGGCGGTGGCTGTCAAGAGTGTGGTCCGGTTCCTGACATGGCTTCGGGAGAACGAGGACGACGACGAAGACGCAGAACTCACCACTTCTTAGCCATCATTAGACATCATAATTAATGACTGATTCGATACGATATTAAAGTAATTATAAATATATTATAAATATATAAATATATTGAAAGTTATTGTCATCTGAAGATCGATTTGTAATAAAATATTTATAAATTAATTTACAATTATTTTAGAGTCGTTTCCACGAAATGAGTGGAGACTTAACTATAAATTACATTCAAACTGAATATTGCATTCAATTGTCAAATGTTCGCTATATTTTTGCAATGTTTTGAATGCAATTATCTATTATTTAGAACAATTTGTATGGGAACTGATGCTCATTAAACATAATAATAATTATTAATTAATGAATTAAAATAAAGTTTAATAAATTTTATTGATATAAAATACTGTATGACTGTATGAGACATACCTTCATTTGACGTCTGTATGCGATTAATGGACACAAGATTTGTTTTGAATTTGAAAATGAATTTTATTGGAAAATGTCTTTTAATTGAATTAACAATATATTAGAAACAATGCGGATATCATTTACAAGATATGCAACAAAACGATGCACTTCTTGTCATAGAGAGCCCAATAAAGGCAAAGTCCCGACAGAGCGTACACTTTGCAGATGCACTACACGGGAGCACAGGTGCTGCGAATGTCCAGCATTTATGCAAACTCCACACTCTGTCAAATGCATTGCACTCTTCATGACAAGTTATGTGTTTTAATAAAGTATACAATCAATGAATTTCTCAATATATATATAACTTATATATATTTATATATAAATACAAAAAGTATCCGTTTTTGTCACAATTAGATTCCATGCAATCTTCTGAACCAATTAATGAGTGGGAGGAGGGCTAGGGGTCAGACCAGTGGTCCATTATATGACGAGTTCATTCCCAGCATATTTTGAACACATTTTATGTAAATATAAAATATTCACATTTCATTTCATGTAAAGTGTAGTAAAATTTGTAAAATTTATGAGAATAATGTGAAAATTGAGAAAACTTTTGATAATAGGGTCGCATGTAATCCACTGATTAAAGCTTATAATTAGTATTAAAAAGGTTAATGAGTTTTAATTGGAAAATGTGTGAATTGTTAAAAGTATTGAAGTATTTGATACTATAGTTTAGCGTATAATCAATAGTTCAAAATGGCTCGCATTGGGTCTAATGGTGGAAATGTGACAGAGAGGTGATAGTGGGGTGGGGCTGATGGGGGTTGAGGTGATGCCAATGAGAACTCGACAATATAACGACCAGAACTAGTGCGTGAGTGTGACTTGGATTGCATGGAACCGTATGGTGTGGAACGGGTGGTGAAGTGGTTGAGTAGCTGTGATGACCAGTGATGTGATGGAGTGATGGTGTGGTGAGTGTGTCATCACTTATATGGCAATCGGTTGACAGTTGTGATGATGTTTTGTACTTCATTTATAATCTTTACTCTCAATTCTTCATTCAAATTGTTTTCTTCAAAAATCTTTTCCAATGGTTTGAAAAGAGCGCCGAAACCAGAATTGCTGTGATTGTTAGCACCGGAAACAGAGAGACCCGACGCCAGTGTCGGACACCAATACATTAGAAGCGAGGGGTCGACCCAACCGTACGGCGAAAACATGAATGGAGAGTAGGGGTAGAGTCCGGTCCCCAACGAGTCCTCACATTTCAATCGTTTTGTTTGATCGCAAACTTCGCTCTTATCTCTCGTGACCTTTGGTTTGCATTTAAAAAAAATTAGATTAAAATCAGATTAAACTTGTTTTCTATTAAACCAATAAATTCAGACATAAGAGACCAGTTTTAGAGGCAAATGTATTGCCCTTTCAATGGCAGGCATAATGCACACCACACTCGCAGCTCCCTTCCCTCCCCTCCTCTATCATATAATCTATTACTTTAATTACTGTCCGATTACTTAAGGATACACTTATACACTGTTTGAATGCATGGCTTGAATTGGGGGTCGTTAGTCATTATAGAGGACAACCCCTTGCCCACAGTGTTTGCAAATAGTGTTCAGTTTTCAATGATTACAATCTTATTATCTATAAAATGGATGCAAATGATAGCAAATGCTTGATGAGTGAGCCGATCGTGGTCTGGGGTCTGGGTATAAGTGTTTGGTGATTGTCGGCTGCAGTAGTGGTGGTGTTTGACTAAAGCCTTAAAGTATTATTATCTCAAACTTAATGTTAACTCAAAAAGTTTAAGAAAAGAGAGAATGTTTGCGATTCCAGGAAAAGAGTCTCAGACCAGCTGTTGACCAACGAGTTTGGATTCATTCCGGGAAAGGGATCACCAAATAAATGATGCGAACATAGCCTTAGAAAGCCATACAAGACATAAAAGGCAGGGGAGACGGGCGCGGCGGGAGGGGAGGGGGATATGGTTTGCGGGCATTGCTTTGAGTGAGAGTGAAGCCTATGAGGCCTATTACTGACCAATACTACTCTGCACTGTGCACAACTACTGGTTTGCTATAAACAGCACTTCAAATGGTTTACATTAAGGAAACCCATATCTTATGTCTTGTGTCCGTCTATCACATAAGGGGTTCACAAATGCAAGCGTCGGAACAGTTGGCAAACCATTCACCACCAACTCTACTGCCTGTGCCTCACATTCAATGTGAACTCAATCACCAACATAATATTTCCATATTAAATTCTCTCTCTCTCTCTCTCTCTCTCTCTCTCTCTCTCGTCAGTTTATGTCATTTATTGAGCGAATGAGTGTTAAAACTACTCGGCCTTTGTGTTAGAAGTGAATTACTATTAATTATATCAAGTGTTATGAAGTGAGTACTTAATCTCATACAGTATTTTTAATAATTTTATTTGTATTTAATAATAAATTAATTTTATTTAGATATTGCTGCTATTGGCATTAATACTGTATTCCAAAAAATGGTTGAGTTTTAGATTTTAAATATTATATTTACTTAATCATTAATTCATTATTTAAAAACATTCATTTCTATTCATATTTATTTTGTGTAAACCGATTTTGATTTTAACGATAAAAGTATTTTATTTTATTAATTTTACAATATATCTGTAGTGGGAATATGAAATCAACACATTGATATTTTTAGTAATCGAGAAAGATTAATTATAATCATCATACTACGTGGTCATAGTCATAAACTTTTAAACTTAGCTTACTTATTCATACTGAGAGAGAGAGAGAGAGAAAGAAAGAGAGAGAGAGAGAGAGAGAGAGAAAGAAAGAGAGGGAGAGAAAGAGAGAGAGAGAGAGAGAGAGAGATTATGTATAATATTTGTAACTTAAGATTTAATTGAATATAACTTATAATTTAGGTTTTATAACAATTCGTTTTCAGTAAATATTATTGTTGAATACTACATTTTGAATATTGAATTTGCATAATACATTTGTATTGATCAACCAAATGCACACTAAGTAATTCATTATAAAATTACCAAATAAATTCTGAGAATAATTAATGTTAATGTCAAAGAATAGTAACATTAAAATTAGTTTTTCTGATAACCCAGTAATATAATTAATTCAATTGAATTAGTTTATATATTTTTATTTAATTTTTATACAGTCTTTACAAAACATTATGAAATAATAATATAAATTTATTAAGGTCATTATTAATGTAATGAATCTTTAATGAGCATATAGTTTCATTTGTTCTGGATTTCTTACTTTATCTTTAAAAGATTAACAAATTAAAAATTTATATATGATCTAAAACTCCACTATTTTTAAAAAGATTATTACCAACAAAGCCAAAATCTATTATAAATAAAATTAAATGATTATAACTTCTAATAATCTTTATCATGAATCAATTACTTACTTCATAACACCTGAAATAATTTATAGTAAATAACTTCCAACACGAAAATCCAATGTTTTTACCACTCATTCGCTCAATAAATGACATTAACTGACGAGAGAGAGAGAGAGAGAGAGAGAGAGAGAGAGAGAGATTATTTTTAAAATATCATATTTTAGCATAAAATAAATATACCTTAAATTTTGTAACAATCCTCTGTCTGTAGATATTATTCGTATGCTTTGAATATGAAATCAATAATTTATATAAAATTAAATGCGATTTATTTGCAGTTAAATTCACTGATGAAGCCGTAAATATTATTGTAAAAAATAAAATGGTCACGACCAAAAAGGTGTACATAAATAATATTTTATAAGAAAATGACATGGGTATGAACAAAACAGTAGCCAACATAAATAAGTCCAAACAACCATAGTTTACCCAAAATGTTAATAATATTTTTGACCAATAAGTGCCATTATATTCAGATAAATCATAGTAAATAGAATGCAATTTAGATAGGTAATTAATAATACTATCATGTTTATTCAAAATCTTTAGCGTTTTATAAATTGAATTAAATTGGATTTTTAAGTAAGCACAAATAGCATAAAAATAGATTATTTGAAAAACTATAAAATTAAACACTGTGTATATAAAATACCCTAGATGAAGTCCATGAGGTATACCAAACAAGATTAAGGTATTTAAATCTGCGTGGATAAAATAGGGTATAATAACGATTGCTGCATAAATAAAAAACACAAATTTTTCATTATTAAACTTGGTAATTTTACATATATTGTGAACACGTTTATAGAGTTTTAAAGTTTCTATGCCAGTATCATTTATTTTTGTTGGACTAATTATATTTAATTCATATATTTCAGACATTCTCGATAATACAGACAAATAACTGGGTTTAATATCCTGTTTGTAGTTATAGTAATAAATCAATTGCGACCATAAATTAATATTAGACACACAAAATATTGCCATCATTATTTGTTTGGTGAAACCTAAGTAATAGGCAAAGTCACCAAGGTACACATTTATGCGTGTATCATAGTGTCCAAACAGTATAACAATTACAGATCTTAACCAAAACCACAAGTTTGTCACAAATATAAGTACCGGATTGTGAATGAAATGCCGGTGCTGCCCATAATTTGTATATAATAATAACCCAGTTCTGTGTAAATGTCCCTCCATATTTTATTTATAACACTAATCCAAAACTAGAATTTAAATTTTTTAAATAAACAAAATGTTACTTTAGCCAATTTTAGTGCAATGAATTAGGTTTATATTTTGGTAATAAAATAAGTTTTCAGTTTTCAAATGAAAACTCTGAAATAAAGGCAAAATTAAACACAAGGCTAATCAATTATCGATCAGTAATAGTTTGTGTAAATACATTTAATTACTATTTCATTACAACTTTATTATGTATTTGCGTGTAATATTAATAAGTGTCCTATTAATTGAA